TCCTATATAAGTCCAGATTGCTATGTCTTGCTCTTGCTGATGCATATTTCCTTAGACAGCAGGGTCCCTTTGCTATGTTCTCCTGAACAAAGGAACATAGTCCTTGCCTGTTGCAGGTCTGGCTGTGGTTCTTATTTCTTAACTTTAAACTCCTTTCTTTTTCTGCTCTCCTAAATCTAACAAATGATGTCTAATTGAAGAAAATGCAAAATTTAATAAGAAACATACACCAAATTTTCTAATATAAATTTGGGGCTAGTGTTTCTGGGGTCTGGAGAAATATCACTGCTTACTTGAAGGAGAAATGAAATACTAGAATCCTTTGAGCCCAACTTTTAAAATTGAGTTGGATCATTTTTTTAGTTAATTCTATACAATGGTACAGCCCTGGATCTGTTGTAATTGTAGTTCCCTTTACTCCCCTGAGCACACATGCTGAAAGAGAAAACAATGGAATATGTTTCTGCCAATATTTGATAACTGGACCCTGTTCACAGACAGTACTCTGGATGTACTAGAAACATGTAAGACGCACAGTTACTTAGTAAAACTCAAAGAAAACACCTGAATTTCCATCAGAGTTCTCTTGGAAGGTAAGTGGGGCCCAGTGTTCTATTTTTGTAATCTTTGTCTTTCACTTTTTCTGTTTCAGGCAGGGACAGAGCTGGTCAGTTATTAAAAGAACTGTATTAATTTTCACAGGTCACACACATAAGGAACTGCCTAAGAATAAAATCAGCAGTCAGCATCCCCACAGAGATCATTATTTGCTGGAAACACTTCCATGTTTGGTACACAGACTTCATCTCCTTTCATACCTAGCATCTCCATGTATTGCCCGAGTTCTCTCAGGGTCTCTTGCACTTTCAGACAAACCATATAACATATTTTTATGTGAATTTATTATAGTTTATATCTTGGAGGGGGGATAGAGAAACTTACAAAGAAATGAGTGCCTGGCACCTGGCACCCAGCACCCAGCTCTGTGCAGCTCGGCCCGCCATTCCAGATTGCTTCCGTGCCTGCCCACAGTCTCCATTAACTTTTGCCCATGCATCTTGGGCCCGCAGTCTCGCCCCAGGTCAGTAAATGTCCCCTGTCATGTCCATGAAGGTGAGACACTTGGGCCATCTTCCTCTCCATGCCTGCTGCCCCACACGTTCCCCACTTCTATCCCAAGATGGCACCCAGAAGTCCCTCTGCAGTCAATTCTCCACAGCAGGCCCGCCTCTTGGAGGAAGTGACAGATGTAAGGCAATCTCTCTTGAATCATGGCAAGATAGTGACTTCTTGGGCCTCCACATTATTCGTCTTTAAGCTGTGGCCATTGATTTATCTTAGTGGTGTTTCTTTTACTATAAAGACAAATAGAAGGAAGTAGACACATCTAAAAAAACACAAATGTAAATACAAATGCCTAGAAGATATCCCAGTAGGCATGCTATATTCATTAAACAGTATACTTGTCCCTGCTAGGGCCTGTAGCCTTCCTCGACACAAGACATTGGCTTAGTCTATAGCACCAGTTGTGTGTTCCACCCCTAGGAAAGGGCCCTATTCAATTAGAAATTTTTCAGTTGTACGTATGTTGGTCAAGCCATTATTGCACCTGCAGGCATTGCTTGGCATGTCCATAGCATGCAGCACACAGGGTCCATTGTTGAGTAGACTCATAGGGGGTCCTTTCTCCCCCAACCATCTGCATAGCGCCTTCTGGAAATATGTTATCCATCCAGTGGCATGGAGTTTTTTGGCTTAGTCTCAGGTCCATCTCCTCTTCTTCTCCCATGCTCACAACATGCAGCATTGTCAACAACATGGCCTTACCAACCTTTTCAGTGTACAACTGGCATTAGTGGCAATAGCCTTGGTGAATTTGAAGACCTCTAGGATCTCTCTCTGACCAACAGCTCATGGGGGGCAACCCATCCCTGGTACTGTAGATTTTCTTAACAGTTGTATACTTTGGGAGACTCTGTCTTCATCTTACCCAATCATAAAACTCCCAAGAATCTTACAGCTATAGCTGGCCTTTGCTTCTTCAGGTATCTTTCAAATGGGTTTCACATCTGTAAAACACTTGAAGGAAGGTTAACATTCTATATTAAATCAATCATGGACAAGGTCTCACATAGCATGGAAAGGTTTTGTCCATTCATATTAACTGTTTTCTCCATAGACCCTTGTTAGGTACCATAGCACAGGTACAGGGCATTAATTTGGTTAGCTCCTTGCCATTTTTAGTTATCCCTTTGGAGTTATTTCACACTTGGGGGATTTTACATGAAGTCTCTTTGTATTCATTTATTCATTCAACACTTACAGATGTTGGTTCCAGTTGCCTGACCCTGCACTGAGCTAAGGAGGCAGGGGGCTTCTCCTGTCCCTGCTGCACTTGTTGATTCCCTGAGTCAGGCAGGTCCTGGGTCTGCCTCCTGACTGTAGCCATATCTAGCATCTCCCCATTGATCACATCTGGTTGCCAGAGGAGAACTTGGTAGGAAAAACTGCTTCCACCCCTAGTATAGCCTTTATCAGAAGAGAAATGCATCTTATTTAATCCTTGGGGACTCCTAACCATTCCTGGGACAGCTTTTATTCTTTGAATGCCTTTCCTAAACTGTTCTTCTGGTTGTAAAGCCTTCCAGAAACTCCTTAGTGCTGATTTTGGTTTTCTATCAATCTTTTCTCTGGGAATTTGGGCTTGACATAAGTCTTGCCACATCTGTCTTCAAGTAACCCAAATGGACATTTCTTCTGTCTGGTGTCTTTTATATCTCTCATAGGGTGTTCTGTTATTCTACAGACATGTTTTACATGCTGGTTAGAATGATTTAGATGTGCTAAAGCCCCTCTTACTTTACAAAGATCCTGTCCCATTAAAGGGCTTAGTAAAACCATTAAAGCTCCACACCATTCTTGAGGTCCCAGTTGAATTAAGCTTTCCTTCATATCTCTGGTGAACACAGTCTCATCTGGCCCAGTGAACTGGACATCATATATTGCTTTTCTCATACCTAGTTCTCTTAGTAATGCCTGCCCTCCTTTATAGTCCTCCAGCCCCTGTTAATCATATCAGTCTCCCTTGGTGATGACCATGTACCTTTAATGCCTTCAACCAGCCACCTCACTAAGGACTGCTCCCCCTTGCATTGGTCTAGGTTGAACAGTCGATATCGTAAGGATGGATGGGTGGTTATATAACTCAGCTGTGAAGCTTCTGAAGGACTTAGACTGACATCATTTGCTCCCATGTCCCATACTCTCACAAGCCATGTAGCTATGGGCTCTCTGGTTGCTTGCTTGTAAGTTTTTCCTAGTTTTAGCAGTTCCAGTGTGGAGTATTTCCTAGCTACAGCACTGTTAGCTTTTTTCCCTTTTGTATCAACAGTTGAATCTGAGGGGCAGCTTTAGCTACTTTTATTTTTTGGTCATCTTTTTTACTATTATCTGCTTTTTCCTCTGAGTCCTTGGACCTTACAGAAGTTAAAGTGTCCCATGTTTTTCTCCTCTATCAAGCTCTCTGACTGGATCTGCCAGGACCTCCTTAGCCTTTTCAGTTTCCCCTGCCTTGGGCACATCTTTTATTATGCAAATTGGCCATGGCCCCTCGCTGAGCTCATGGTTTGGGTCCAAAGCTGGGTAAAAGTTTTTCTAGTCTCTAGATAACCTTTAACAAATCTCCACATACCCCAACATATTCCCACATTTACAACATAGCTGTGGCCCACACTTCTGCGTGGCTGGCCTCTTTTTAGTTACAGATTTTATAATCCATTGTAAAAACCATATCAGTGCCACCATCAGCTCTCTAGCTTTTTCCAAACTTCCACAGTTTGTCATTTTTAGTGCCATCCTGCTGGCTGCACCAATTTTGTCGCCTGAGTTCTCCCAGGGTCCCTTGCACTATCAGACAAACCATATAACATATTTTTATGTGAATTTATTATAGTTTATATCTTGGGGGGGAATGGAGAAACTTACAAAGAAACACCTGGCACCCGGCACCCAGCTCTGTGTAGCTCAGACCACTGTTTCAGATCACTTCTGTGCCCACCCACAGTCTCCATTAACTTTTGCCCACGCATCTTGGGCCCACAGTTTCACCCCAAGTTGGTAAATGCCCCCTCTCATGTCCATGCAGGTGAGACACCGGGGCCATCTTCCTCTCCACGCCCACTGCCCCACTTGTTCCCTGCTTCTGTCCCAAGATGGCACCCAGAAACCCCTCTGCAGTCAATTCTCTGCAGCAGGCCCTGCCCCTTGGAGGAATCGGGCCTCTGGGACACACCATGACACAGACACGTGATTGTCCACATGTTCTAGATAAGGTGACTGGAAGCCTCAGAGGACTCAAGGGCATACTCAGAGTGAATGGCAAGTTGTGGGTGGAATTTAAAGATGTCTGGAGTCAGAATTCACAATACCAACATGTACTATAGAAATTATTAATTTTGGCATTTCAATAAACAAAATAAAGAGATCACTGATAGAAAGTAAGCTCATTTCTGATCCATGTGACCTCGTTCATTGAGAAAAACTCATTTCCTCTTTCGTGCAATTGTCCTCAATCAAACTTACCAAAAATAGTAAAACTAGGATCAAAATGTACCTGACAATCACAATGATGCACAAGAAAACTAAAATACTTCTCTTGCCCCCCCCCAAAAAAAACCCAAACATGGATGGACAGGAAGAGAAATAATTTGTGATGTATGCAAATTTAATGTAGAAGAAAGATTCTAAACTGATGGAGCCTCACAGTGCGATGCATATCCAGCCATGACTCAGAAGTTTTAGAACAATGGAGGGAGTGGATGGTCTCCGGGGTTGTGAGCCGAAGCTGAGGCTTTAAGTGGATTAAGGGTGAATTGGGATACATCTATCTTCATGTCTTCATGAGGACAATAGTGTTGTTTGAGATCAATGATCAAGGTTATATTTGTTATGAGTAATTGTTCTACTTTTCTCCTCAGGCACGTATATGTTTCATTCCCTATATGATGAATAAAAAACAACTGTGTACTAATACGAACATACAGAACACCTTTTACACTGGAGTGAGCATTGGGATCTCAGCCAAGAGCATCCTTCTTCTCTTATACACATTCAGTTTCATTCATAGGCATGAGCACAGACTCACTGACCTTCCCATTTGGCTCTTGGCACTGTTCCACCTGCTGATGTTGCTGATTGATGGAATCATAGCTACAGATATTTTTATGCCTAAGAGGCATTGGAATGACATCACACGTAAATTTCTTATATACTTGTACAGATTTTTGAGGGGCTTCTCCATATGCATTTCCTGCCTGGTGAGTGTCCTCCAGGCCATCACCCTGAGTCCCAGAACCTCTTGTTTAGCAAAATTCAAACATAATTCCTCATAGCAAAATTTATATATCCTTCTTTTCCTGTGTGTCTTCTATACATCCTTTAGCAGTTGCCTCTTTATATCAATCATTACCACCCTGAATCTTGTTGTTTTCTATCCATGAGTTATTCAATGAAACACACATTTTCCACACTATGGATGTTCAGAGAAACCATCTTTATATGTCTCATGGTCTTCTCCAGTGTTTACATGGTAACTGTCTTGTACGGGCATAAGAAGCAGTCCCAGCATCTTCAGAGCACCAGCCCTTCTCCAAAATCATCCTCAGTGCAAAGGGCCACCTGGACCATTCTGATGATCATGAGGTTTTTTGTGGTCATGTCCATCTTGGACAGCAACATCTCCTACTCAAGAACTGTGTTTGATGATAATCCTATATTTTACTGTATCCAGATTCTTGTGTCCCATAGCTATGCCACAGTCAGTCCTTCACTATTCATTAGTACTGAAAAACATGTGGTTAACTTTTTGAGGTTCATGTGTGAGAGGGCAGTAAATACATGAATATAAGTTCATTTAAGATGAGCCAGTGTACCCATGGTGGTGCATGCCTTTCTTTAAGTATTTGGGAGATAGAAGCAGGTGTATGACTTTAATTCCAGCACTCAGGAGGTAGAGGCAGGCAGCAGTCACCAAATTGGCACAACCTAGAGTCACCTGAAAAGATGGAACCTCAATTGAAGAATTCCCTTGATCAGATTGGCTTGTGAGCATATCTATTACAGATTATCTTGATTGACAATTGATGTGGAAAGGCCCAAACCGCTGTGGGTGGCACCATCCTTAGGCAGTTATTCCTGGGATGTGTAAAGAACATACTTGAGCATGAGCCTGAAAGAGAGTTAACACTGTTCCTCCATGGTTTATGCTTTAGTTCTTGCTGGAGCTCCTGCCCTAATTTCCCACAATGGACTGTAACCTGTAAGATAAAATAATCCCTTTCCTCCCCCAAGTTACTTTTAGTTAGAATGTTTTATCACAGCAACAGAAAAAGCAAACTGGGAACAGAAACTGCCACCAGAAGAGTGGAATCATTGCTGTGATGAACCTGACCATGTGGCTTTTTGTGCCCTTGGACTATTTTGGTGAATGATTGCAGGGAGGCTTGGCGGGCCAGCTGTGGGAGGCTCAGGCCAGCTGTGGGAGGCTCTCCCTTTGCTCGCGGGTCGTTGGCCACCGGTCCACGAGGGCAGGGAGAGCAGAAGCAGTGAACAGGGTCAGAACGGCCAGTGGACGCTGACGGAAGACAGCTCTTCTGGGGAAACTGATCACAGGCTGGTCCCAGGCGCAGTGAAACAGCAATGACACAGCTCCAGGCAGTAAGAACAGCTCAGCTCCAGGCAGTGATACAGCTCCATTTATTAGTGGGAATACTAGAGAATTTATAGTGTGAGGCAGTACCAAAAGCCTCAGTTGATAGGTGCTCACAGTATGCTTTATTTACATGTGGCAGTGGGCTCCTATCTTCCAGACTATCAGACAATGCCTGATTATCATATAGAAAAATCCTGCGGGTAGTTTTTACTTCAGGTAACTATGCCAAAGGCCATGTTTTCAGATAAGGTCAGGCATCCGTGGTTGGCAGCACTTCAAGGTGAACCAGGAAGAGAGCAGGAGGCCCCCTGCTGAAAAGGGGAGTTTTTCCATTTGGCGCCGAGCCCCTCAGGGCTATCCGGACATGGAGAAACTACAACCCTAACAGCAGGGTTCCCCAACAAATGATTGTGATTTGTTTTGGAAGTTTGAGCTAGAAAAGCCATTGAGTACTCAGAGGTTAATAGGTTGTCCTATTAGGCATTTGGAAGATAATGCTGAGAGAAATACAGACAATGGAGGTTTGTGAAGTCTTAGAAGGAGGCAAAGACTATCAGGGCTGTTTGTGTGGTATTCTTTACTAAGAATCTGTGATTTGAACTCAACAAAGGCTGAAGAATCAGCTGTGATTAGCAAGAGACCAGCACCACTAAAGTGAAACCTTCTGTACTTTACTGGGACAATGGATGCAAGTCAGGTGGGGCTGAAAAATCAGCTACAATTAATAAGAGATTGGCTTCACTGAGGTGAAATCTTCTGGGAAGTGGTTCCTTGGGGTCAGCACAAAAAAAGCTATGCTCCAAGGGGGCCAAGGATATACATCAAGTTAACAGAAGAAAAGGGTGGCAAAAAAGTGTGTAATAGTCTCCAATCTGGTCCTGTTCTCAAGGCATGGGAGATGTTAAGGAGGTTATGGAGATTGGCTGAGGCCTATCACTGAGTGGTAGGGTCAGAGTCCCTGAAGAGAGAACAGAAGAGGTCATTGGTGAAAGAAACCCTAAGGTATTGGGGATGCCAAGGCCATAGAATGTCATCCAAGGACAGTGGCAGTTGTAGAGTGGAGCCAGCTTGATCTTGCTAGACAAGCTGTGTGTGCTGCAAATTGCAGAGCTGGAGAAGTGAAGCTGCCCAAGATTTTTGGACCAGAAGATCATGAGTGAGTACAATCCCCAGGCAGATTGGTCTGGGTTGTTTGGGAAAGGAAGCTAAGCATGAGCCTGATAGTAACACAATAAGTAGTGTTCCTCCATAGTTTGGGCTTCAAATTCTACTTGAGTTCCTGTCCCAATTTCCCTCAAAAATAGACTGTAGCCTGTAAGATGAAATAAATTCTTTTCTTCCCCCAAGTTGCTTTTGGGCAGAGTATTTTATCCCAGCAACAGAAAAGCAAACTAGAGAATCCCCTGAGTCTAGTTAGCACTGCCCATATGTGTATGGGCATGAACTACCTACCAATAACTAAATCTCCAAAGGAGAATAATTCTTCCCATCGCAACAGCCATCAACTGCTAACACCTCCTTCAACAAAGGTGAAGCCTCAGGGATCCTCCTCCATCCATGCTGGAATTTTGACTAGCTTGATCTTGAACAGTCCTTGTGTAGGTAAGCACAGCTGCTGTGTGTTGATACATGCACCAACCATGTCATGTCCAGAAGGCAGCATTTTACGGCTGTCCTCTCTTCCAGCTCCTACATTCTTTCTGCTGTCTTCCATCAACTTTCTTGAGCTTTGGCTGGAGTAAGGTGGGCACTCAGAGTTCTTTATACTCAGCACTCTGACCAGCTTATCACACTTTCATTATTTCAATTTCCTCAGTTATCCGCATTTTGCCAATTTAGATAGGTAAACACTTCTTACTGTAAGCAATGACATGATGCAGGTCTGGAGAGATGGCTTAGTGACTAAGAACATACTGCTCTTCCAGAAGACCCAAGTGCAATTCACAGTCACATGCGGCGGCTCACAATTGGTGGAACTTCAGCTCCTGGGGGATCTGGTACCTCTGATTTTCTTGGGTACCTATACTCACCTGCACATACCCAAGGACACACACACACACACACACACACACACACACACACACGGACATATAATTTTTATTTTTAAAAAACTTTAAAAATAATGTGATGGGGACTGGAGACAGCTCAGTGGTTAAGAGCACTGGCTGCTCTTGCAGAGGGCCTGGGTTCGATTCCCAGCACCCACATGGGGGCTAACAACTATCCATAACAGGGGAATCCAAAACTCTCTTCTGACCTCTGCAGATATTGCATGACACAGGTGCACTTACAGGCAATACACTCATACACATAAAATAAAAATAATGAATAAAATATTTTTTAAATAGTAACATGATGCAGGAATTACACAAACAACTCCCAGAAAGAACTGCATGCAGGTAACCACACAGTCATTTTCAAAGTGTACATAATACAGGATTTAAAATTGTCAAAGAATGAAACAGCATATTATCTATTACCATTAGAATGTATGTCAAAACATCGTCTCTACATGCAGTGGAATATTATTCTGTATTGAAACAAGAGGCAATTCTAGCACATCATGCAATATGAATAAACCTAGAAGCTACTATGCCAAGTGAAACAAGTCAGCCAAACAAGCAAAAACATTGTACAAATCTGCCGCAGAAGGTAGAACATGCCATAGGTAAGTTAACAGACACAAACACAGTGTCATTCTGGAAACTCAAGAAAGAGGGCAATGGGGACTTTCTCTTGGCAGAGTCATCATTTCAGTTGAAGAAGAAAAAATGCTACAGATGGATGTGGTTATGGTCACCCAATAATGTGAATGGCATTACTGCTACTCAATTATGAGGTTAAAAGGCTCAAAATGCTAAATGTGTATGTTTTGTTTACTTTATCATAATAAATATGTTCTTACTGCATTCAACTTTCAGAAATATTTCTGGAGAGACAGCTTAGTAGATAAAGTGTTTGCTGCATGATAAGAGGACCTGAGTTCAGATGCCCAAGACTTATGTACAGCTGGATGAAGTAGTGCACATCTGTGACCCCAATCCCAGAATTCCAACAATGAGATGGGACTCAGCCAGGAGAATCCTCAGAAACTCACAGGCCAGCTATCCTGGTGTATACAGTGAAGAACAAGAACCCTGTCTGAACAAGGTGGAAGGCAAGGACCAACATCAAGGTTGTCCTCTGATCTCCTAGGGATGCTGTGGCATACATGTACCTTCACTCACATATGTGAACTCACACACACATATCCAAATACATACACACCAAAAAACAATTTTTAATTGTGGGATACATCCTGGGTCCTCAGCAAAAGCCAGTGTTCTTAAACATTGAGCCATCTTTCCAACCCCTTAGTAGCTATGTTTTCATAGAAAAGTTCATTGTTCTAATCCATTTACTGAATGTTTATTATGTTCCAAGAAATATTCTAGAATCTTAGGATACATTTGTGAACAGAATATAAAATACAATCCTGCCTTCAAAAAGCTTACCTATCAGTGGTTAATATGGACACAAATATATCAAATATGCAAAATATGAAGTCCTTCCAATGGCTTAATGTGCAAAAGGTAAAATTCAGGGAAGGGTAATGGGGAACAGAGGATGCTATCATGGGGATATGCTTTGTGTGTCCCCTCAAAGACTCATGTGCTAAAGGCTTGCCCATCACAGAAACAATATTGGGAGGTGGTAGAAACTTAATAGTTGGAGCCTAGTAGGAAATCCATTGGTCGTTAGGGGACATGCCTTAGAAGACAATAAGACAGTTCTTATAGGACGTTTTGGTAGTTCTCACAAGAGTGTCATAAATGGAAAAAACTGGACATTCCTCCATCTCTGCTTCCCGGTTTGAGATGTGATTATTTTCTCCCCACACGCATTTGTTGGTGACAAGCCTGATGAGATGCAATCAAAGGGCAGTAACCAGAGCCTACACTATGCTACTTGAACTTTCAGCTCACGAAACTGAAAGGACCATGGGTCTCTTCACTTATAAAGGTAATCTGTGTCATATATTTGATTATGATAATGAAAATCTAATTTAAAGTTTGTGGATTTTAAGATAACAAAAGCTTTACTGATATTGTAACATTTGAGCAGAGACCTGAAAGGAGCTGTGGGAATTGTTCACCGAAATATCTGAGGAAAGCTTACCAACTCAGAGAACAGGTAGTGCAGAGGTCTGG